CCACACGGGGAGCCCAGTGTGAGGCTCAAACTCACAACCCTGAGGTCAAGACCTGGGCTTTCTTTTTTTTTTTTAAAGATTTTATTTATTTATTTGAGACAGAGAGAATGAGAGACAGAGAGCATGAGGGGGAGGAGGGTCAGAGGGAGAAGCAGACTCCCTGCCGAGCAGGGAGCCCGATGCGGGACTCGATCCAGGGACTCCAGGATCATGACCTGAGCCGAAGGCAGTCGCTTAACCAACTGAGCCACCCAGGCGCCCCAAGACCTGGGCTTTCTTAAGCGTCTAGCCACTCAGGTGCCCCTAAAGATAGTCTCTAATGGACTCTGTGTTTTTTATTTGCTCTTTAATGCTGTGCTCCCCGAGGCATAGGGCCCTGTAGGGTGGGGGAGTGGGAGGCTGAGCCCAAGGAGGCAATAAGGGTGGGACTGCATGTGAGCTGAACTCCAAGCCCCTGTGTGCGCTCCACTGTCCCACCAGACTTCACTCAGAAGACACCAACTCCGAGATAAAGTATTACGAAGTTCAAGGCAGTGACTGCAGAGCATTCTGCCCCAAGCTCAGGGCTCTTTTGAGCACAGGACTCCATGTGGCTGTGCTGGTCACCCACCCACTTCCTGTTTGGCATCTACTTGTATGTGTCACACCCTTTGCGGGGCACCGAGAATGCAAAAAAGAATCTTTTATAGTTCCTGCCTTTAAGGAGGGGTGAGGAACGAAGGGATGGTTTATGAATCACTACTCTGTACCAGAGTCTTGCCTATTCACAGCCCAGTGGGAGGGAAAGACTTCTAAAAATGATTCAATAACACAGTCTGGAAACCACAACAGTGGAGAACCCGGCCGGGTGACACAGGAAGGGAGGGGAGGGAGGATGCAGGGCATTCAGGGCTTGAGGAGTTGGGAGTTCAGTGGACAGGAGACTCAACGTCCTGGGCGTCTGCTCATGAACCTAGCTGGACCGGCAAATTGGAGTGAGGAGAAGGGGAAATGACCATTAGAAGGTTATTTACTGTTTTTTTTGTGTGTGTGTGAAAATGGCTAAATACATATTTTTTTAATTGCAAAAGTCATGCTCATTTGAGAAATTGGGCAATATCAAAAGATATAAACAAGAAAGCAACTATCTGTAATCCCACCACCCAAAGAGAACCACTGTTAACATTTTGACTCTCTTTCCTATTTTTTCCCCTGGGCGCACACATGCATTTATTACAAAGTGTTATCCTACTGTACATTCTACTTGTTAACCCGTATTTGCCCTTGGCATCCTATTATAGCTACCTTTCCCTAACATTAATTGTAGCTATCAGTGGTTGTGTTTAATGGACACACAGTGTTCCATTTTATAGATCTACTTTAATTTGTATAAAAGTTTTGGAAGGGCACTGAAGTTTATCAACCTGTATTATATAAACAACCCTGTGATAAGCTTTGTCTTCCCTCCCTCCCTCCCCCTGCCTTCCATTCCTCACATTAAGTGGGATTTCAGGGTCAGAGGGTCTGCATTGTTTAGTGTGTTTGATGCATATTCTCCCAACAGGACTGTGTGTGGAGGGGGCGGGTACAAAGACAGCAAAATGTGATTGAACAATTATTATCTGCCGGATACTATGCTAAGCACTTTACACGTATTAACTCATCGATCCTCATATCAGTTCTATGAGCTAGGTGCTACTTTTCTTCCCATTTTACAGACGAGAAAATTAGGGGCAATTGAGCCAGTATCCAAGGCTCCGAAGGGCAACAACTGTCCAGGGACAGGGCTGAGATCTGCACCACGGTGGTTCGGTTCCAGAGCCTGCACTCTATCCCAGTTCATCATCACGTAGCACCATGAGGCGAGTATCATTATCCCCATTTTTATGGGTAAGGATTTTTTTTTTAGCCTTTTTTTTAAGTTTTAATTTTAATTCCAAAGATAAAGATATTTTGATACACATTAAGAAACTTGTCCAAGATCATCAACCAATAAAGGAAGGGCCATATTCGAAGCATCATCTGTGTGACTCCAAAGCAGAGATTGCTGGGTCCTTCATGAAGATGTCTGAATTCATTCAGGAGTGTGTTCTCAGCTGGGTTTTTATGTGCTTACTTTTCAACGTTCCTCTTTGGCTTCTGCCAGAGCTCGGCAATCAGGGCTCGGAGGTCTGCACCTGCCCAGGTCATATCTCTGTCAAGTCCTCACTTACCCTGACTCTCACAGCCTGGACCCTGTGATGCACTGACTTTCCTCCCCTCTCCTCTCATCCTAGATCACCTCGTTTTCTAGAACTCTTTCAGTTGGTCACAGTTTTGGTTGCCAGTCACAGGACACTCAGCCTGAACTGGTCTTAACAATAGAGAACTGAAAAGTACCCAGGGAAGATTGCCTCTGGTTTGTTCAGGACTCTGGCTCGGTTTCCCTGTGATTCTCTCAGTTCTGCCTTCCTCTGTGTGTTAGTTTTGGTCCTTGGACTGGTTTGCCATTTATATACCAAATGGCTTCCAGCTGTAACTAAGACGACATCCTTGCTTTTCCGCTGTCACCAAATAGTCGTCCCAAACTTGGCTCTGCGTGGGTCATCTTAGTCACATGCTTACCGCGCACCTGTCACTATGGCAATGGGGGTGATCACTGGGGAGAGGGGCGAATCCCTCCTCCACCTCCCCTACCTCTCTTTCGGTCCCCAGGTCCAAGTGGACCCTTCTGCAGGGATGTGAAGAGATGCTGCCGTTGGCATGAAAGCTGACACTGGACGGAATAGATATACTTGTGGCTGTATTGTGCGGCTCACATGCTCTTGCACAGAAGCTTCCATTTTCAAAACAGTGGCAAGAAGAGGCCTCTGCATTTTGCCAGAGGACTGGCATCCAGGTGACACATGTCACAACAATCTTGGTGGCATCGGATGTTCTGCACAGAATAGTAAATGCTTTCCCATTAGGAACCTTATAGATCCATTGAAGAGGGAGCAGTTCTAAGTGGGAAGGTGCCGTACGGAAGATATGTTGGGTGGGCGGACTTGCTGGAACATTTTCAAGTGGGTAACATTTTATTCCAAGCTCATCTATATGTGCCTTTCCCCTCCTTCAGTGAAATGCTCTTTCCTTTCTCTCCTTCCATAAAGGGGAGAGTCTTTAACTCTTGTCCTCCAGATCGCCTTCCCACTGGAGACCTAAGCTACCACCACACTTGCCCCCACAACCACCCAGAGGGACTGCTTCTCCTTTACTCCTTGGGCCTGAGGGAGGACCAGACCCTTTCCTCATACCTCAGTCATTCATTGGGTTAGACTGGAATGTTGGACTGACTAGAGTCAGGGCTTAAGAAAAGCAGAAGGGAGTTATATACAAAGAAGGACTTAAAGTATTAGCTAGGGCGGCTCCTGCCCTGGTCTTTCCCTTTGGGTCCCTTGCAAGGACTGTCCGGGCCTGCGACTACCGCCCCCTTGTGGCAGACACTCTCTTTGCCCATGGCCTCTGCTTGCACTTGAGTATTCGTACGCGTTTTGCAGACAGGCCCCAGGCAGTCTGTTTTTTCCTGTGTTACCAGTCACTGTTTGCTGCCCCAGAATTACTTTTCCCCTAGATGATTAATAAGGGAATGTCCGTTCCCTTCAGGGACTCCCCACCTTCAAGTCCTTTCTGGTCTAGGCATCAGAACACAACAGTCCAACACCAGTAAAAGCAAAGCATGGGTGGCCCCAGGGCAATTGTCTCCTTATACTTCTTGCTACTTTTTATGAATGAGAAGAGAACCCAGGAGGAGAGCATGACTTAGCTTAGAAAGTACGCTTGCCGGTGACAGAGCTTAGGCACCGGGGGCATGGTTAATTGGCATTTATGGTAGGGGCAGACTTTATACTTGAATAGATTGATGCTAACTTTAAACTCAAGAGGGTGGTTGGAGAAGAACGATGCCAGACAGACCGGCCCGGCTGTGTGGAAGTGAAGCTTTCAGGCCTACCTCATCTATGACCGTGCAGCCGAAAGCAATAGACGCTCTGACTCACGGTGGTGACCTGATCTGTGACTCACAGCAGGTGTATCTAATGTCATTTCTTCTACAACCATGGATTGAGCACCTACTTTGTTCCCTGACAGAGGATCAGAAGATGGATCAGAGAGGGTCTCTATTCTCTAGAAGCTCACAGTCTGGTGGGGAAGGCTGACTTGTAAGCACGTCGTTATAATGCAGTAGGGTTCATGTTGTAACAGAGATGGGTTACTGTACCAGAGGAGTAAAGCCAGGGGACACACATTAGCTGCTGGGAACAGCTGAGGCAGGTTCTGAGAAGCCATCCTTCATTCTGGGAGAGGAGCAAGATGACCTTAACCCCAACTCCTCGTTCACAGATTGCCCCAGCTCCAGTGGTCTCCCTGTTGTCCAGCCAGATTGCGGGAGTGGTCCCAGCCCCCAGCCTCGGCCATTCTAATCAACCAACTGTTGAGAATGGTTGTGTGGTGTGTCGGGGTGGGGGGGGTGGTTCTCCCTCTGATCTTCATGACGTCTCCACCACCCCCTGGGGCCACCCCAAAGAAGCCTACAGGACAAGTAAAAATTGTGTGCTTGTTGTCCAAACACAGCTTGAGGACAGACCTCCACCTCCTTCCCACAAAATTGAGCAGGGGTCGAGGGGGGCCCAGTCCCTCCTAAGTGGGGGGCTCCTACCAGGCCCGCCTACAGTGGACTCCTGAAGTTTCTACTGTCAAAAGTAAAATCCTCTCTCCTTTATTCGTGTCCAAGCAAGTTGGAAGCTTTCAAAGGTGATCTAAGGGAATTTAAGGATAAACAAGTGGGCACAAATGCAAGAAAAAGAGAACAAACATAGTCATCTGAGTGGAGAATTCAGATAGTGGACCCTTAACTCCATCTTCATGTCTGGTTGAACATCTGGGTCCTCGGAGTCTCTGATGCCCTGTGGTCCCTTGATTTCATCTGTTCTCCAAATATGGACAAGGGCAGGGCTCAGAGAGGAGGTGTGCGGTGACGAAGCTTCCCTATTTCCCTTTATTCATCAAGTTTCCTCTGACTGTTAAGTCCCACTGGTCTCTGAGCTCCAACCTTTTACAGTTGGACACACCTGGCCGGTGCCTAAGGTAGGAAGCCACCTCTGTTGCCAGGACTTTCTTTGGGGAGGGAGACTTGGTTTGACTGTGTTTTAGAAAATGCATTCATTTCTCTGAGACCTGAAGACTTCTGCTCACTTGGCTTCCTGCCTCCTCCCTTGTGACCACCTATTCAATTCTGATCTCATACATGGCTGTAGTCGGTAACAAGGGGGCCACAGTCTTGTCACTTCCCCCTTTCACGCCTCTCCCTTTTTTTGGAGGAAGAGGCTTACATTTTCCCAATCTAATGTTTATTGCTTTGCCCTCAAATGTTGTCTTCTGTAAAAATGCAGTATCGGCAGGCAGAGAACATACTAAAATGTGTGGATCGGAATGAACTTATAGAACCTCAGGCCTGCAAGCAAGTCAGGGGTTAAATACTCTGCCTCCCTCAAGCTGCAGAGGAGAAAACAGAAATCTGTAAAGGTAAAATGACCCACTCAAGGTCACACAGCTTAGTATTGATAAATCAGGATAGAGTGAGGACTGGATACCAGGTATCCTTATTTCCAGTCCAGTAACTTTCCAAAGTCTTTAGACTGTTTCCTGGAGATCTGGGGAGTTTTGGGGGAGCCACCTGAGCAGCTGTCTGGGTAGAAATAGCAGCACCCCCTCCTTCCCAGCAAATGAATTTTTGTCGGTTTTACATATTGGTCTTCTGGTATGATTTTGCTTCACTAAAGTGTTTCACAATTTAGGAAGGTATCTGAGCACTGCTGGTGGTTCTGTGGATGTGTAAGGGGTGATAACAGGGAACAAGATGGGGACTTCTCTCAAATGGTGATGCTATGAAATTGACCTCTAAAGAATTCCAAAATAGAGGAGAATTAAAGGACCTCCTGTTGCCAAACCAACAGAGAAGCAGAAGATATCCCAGTAACTATTCTCCCATCCCTGATGAGTGACTTTAATCTGAATTACTAAATTATATTTCTTCCCTTTGAATCTTTCAACCAGGTTGAACCATGATTGTCTTGATGAATGATCTATGGAATGATACTGAGTGGAATTATGATGAATTTGGAAATTTCAGCGGCACACCACCCACAGAAACATATAGTCCCTGTAGGATAGACCCTGAGACACTCAACAAGTATGCAGTGGTGGTCATCTATGCCCTGGTCTTCATGCTGAATCTGCTGGGAAACTCCCTAGTGATAGTGGTTGTCTTATATAGTCGGATCAGCCAGTCTGTCACTGACGTCTACCTGCTGAACCTGGCCATAGCCGACCTGCTCTTCGCCCTGACCTTGCCTCTCTGGGCTGCCTCCAAGGCAAAGGGCTGGATCTTTGGCACACCCCTGTGCAAGGTGGTCTCGCTCCTGAAGGAAGTCAACTTCTACAGTGGTATTTTACTACTGGCCTGCATCAGCGTGGACCGCTACCTGGCCATTGTCCATGCCACACGCACGCTGACCCAGAAGCGGCACTGGGTCAAGTTCATATGCTTAGGCATCTGGGCCCTGTCCCTGATCCTGTCCCTACCCATCTTCATCTTCCGCAGGGCCATCAATCCCCCCTACTCCAGCCCAGTCTGCTACGAGGACATGGGTGCCAATACGACAAAACTGCGGATAGTGATGCGGGCCCTGCCCCAGACCTTTGGCTTCCTCCTGCCGCTCGTGGTCATGCTGTTCTGCTATGGGCTCACCCTGCGCACCCTGTTTGAGGCCCACATGGGGCAGAAGCACCGGGCCATGCGGGTCATCTTCGCTGTCGTGCTTGTCTTCCTGCTCTGTTGGCTGCCCTACAACCTGGTCCTGGTCGCAGACACCCTCATGAGGCTCCGGGTGATCAAGGAGACTTGTGAGCGCCGCAATGACATTGGCCGGGCCCTGGATGCCACCGAGATTCTGGGCTTCCTCCACAGCTGCCTCAATCCCTTCATCTACGCCTTCATTGGCCAGAAGTTTCGCCATGGACTCCTCAAGATCATGGCCTTCCATGGGCTCATCAGCAAGGAGTACTTGTCCAAGGACGGCAGGCCTTCCTTTGTGGGCTCTTCTTCAGCAAACACTTCTACTACCTTCTAAGCGCCCCCGGCCCTGTTGCAGCCCCTCGGGGCTCCTCCCTCACCATCAGCATCGCGTTCCGAGCCTCATGTCCACTGGCTGTTCACAGTCTCTGTGTCAAGGCAGCCCCCGGGTGTGGTTACAGGAAGTTACTGGGGCCACGTCCTTTTCAGGCCCTTTGTACAGTTTAGAAAGCCTGCCCTGGTTCCCCAGCCCTGACTATACTTACTCTGTCAGCTGCTAGAGCTCAGTCCATCCTACCACTGAGCCCACAGCACTCTGTTCTCTGAGGCAGTTAAAGACACTTCAAAGGCATTCCTTCAAGTGACTACAGAAAGTTCCTACCATGGGGAGGCATCAGTGGTGAACGGCATTAGCTGCTGCCCCGACTGTCCCTTTCTTGCTTGCCAGCAAAGCCCACCTCCCTTGAGAGAGGCTGAGAAGGACAGATACTCACTTTCGAAGACTCCCTTGGCTAGGAGTGGCCCTGCCATTCACTTTGGACTAATTAGATTTCAGGGCAATGGTGTGCTGGTAAACCACTCTCCTGGGGGAAAGAAGTCCTGATTTGTAGCATTTACCGAGTTGCCTGGTGTAAATGCTCCCGCCATGGCGATTTCAAGGGTTTTCAAGTGTTTAGCAACCAGCTCACAAAAATTTAGGAAATGTAATGAGCTGCTTTCACAAGCAGGTACAAACTGGCCCTAGTGCACCATTGCTTAAGAGGAAGTCTGCTGGGTCCAGGGACTCCTGGGAAGTAGTCCTGATTGAAAAAAGAGAGAAAGGCACACACACACCCTTGGTTCTCACCTTTGAATATGGCTGTAGGATATGATGTGACAAAGAGGCAAAAAGTGTGCTCAACACACTTAGGCAGATGGAGCAGATGAGAATAAAGAGCCCAGAAAGAAGCCTAAGCGTAAATGGTCAATGATTTTCAACAAGGGGCACCAAGACTATTCGATGGGGAAAGGATAGTCGTTCAACAAATGGTGCGGGCAAACCAGATATCCACACGCACAGGAATGAACTTGGTCCCTTTCCTTACACTATATGCAAAAGTTGACTCAAAATGGGTCAAAGACCTACACAGGGGAGCTTCAACCATAAAACGCTTAGTAGACACGTAGAGGATATGTCTTATAACATTGGATTTGGCAATGATTCCTTTGATATGACACCGAGAGCACAGGTAAGAAAAGAATAAATAGATAATTGGATTTCAGCAACGTTAAAAACTTGTGTGCATCAAAGGACACTATCAACAGAGTGGAAAGGGAAATCACAGAATGGGAGAAAATATTTTTAAATCAAATTTCATACAGTTTACTCTCCACAATATACAAAGAATTCCTACCATTCAACAACAAGAACAACAACAACAAAGACAGATAATAACAAGTGTCGGCAACGATACGGAAATACTGGTGGGACCCCTGTGCATCATTGGTGGAAATGGAAATGGTGCAGCCACTGTGGAAAACAGTGCCTTGAAAGATGAAGCAGAATTCCTATCTGATCCAGCACCTCCATGTCTAAGTGTACACCCAAAAGAACTGAGAGCAGAGACTCAAACAGATGTTCGTATACTAATGTTCCTAGCGGCATTATTCACAGTTGCCAAAAGACAACAACCACCCAATGTCCATCAATGGATGATGGACAAACAAAATGTGGGGTATACATGCAATGGAATATCGTTCGGTCTTAAAAATGAATGAGCTTCTGGTACAAGCTACAAACATGGGTGAGCCCTGAGAACATGATACGAAGTGAAAGAAGCCAGGCAAAAATAGTGTATGATTCCAGTTATTGGAAACACCTGCAATAGTCAAGTTCATAGAGACAAGAACAAACAGTTGTTACCGGGGGCTGGGCAGAGGGGAAAATAGGAGGTAATTGTTTAATGGGTACACAATTCAGTTGGGGATGATGAAGAGTTTCTGGAGATAGATAGTGGTGACAGTGGTACAACAGTGTGACTGAGCTTAATGTCACTAAACTCTACGTTTAAACTGGTAAAAATGGTCAGTTTTATGTTGTGTGTATCTTACTACAATGGGAAAAAAAAAAAAAAACAACTAGTTCCCAAAAGACAAATTTTAGCAACTGAACCAATCGTGGAACCATCTACCTATAACTTCTTGTTCGGGGAGATAATTAAATGTCTTTTTTTTTCCTTTGTATAAGCCACTTTGAGTTGAGTGTTTCATTACTTGCAACAAAAAGCATCTGAAATGCTACAGAGAAGTCAGGCAAGGGTGAACAGAGGTCCCGAACGTAGATTTATTTACAATAATTAAATCCCTTTGCTATCTATTGGGTGCACAGATAGAGAGAAGGATTGAAATCAAGAGAGAAGCCAGCCTTTCTTCCTCCTTCATCCCCAGCCCAAGCCTGTTGCTGCTGCACATGTACTATAGAAGGAGATATGTCCCGGGATCATCTAGTGCTTCTTATGTCTTTGGGTGAAACCAGAGTCAAGAGCATCAAGGGTCAGTGTGTTTTACCAAATCAGCTGGATTGGGGAGCAGGAAGCCAGACAGCTCTGCTGAGCTCAACCAGCTGCCCCTACTTTGAGTCTTCACTCTCTTCTCTCTTCCACTCAAAACACACACACACACACACACACACACACCCATCATGCAGGACAGACAAAAGCACACCTTGCAGAATAGGGAAATGATTTCCACACAAAACCAAGGATTTGACTCATTGCTTGGGCAGTCTTTCCTGAGGGCCTGCCATCCCAGGGCTCTGGGACATGACAGAGCCTTACCCAGGCTGAGCTCCTGTTCACAGGCCTCGTCCCTGCGGGGGCTTTGGCAGGAGGGGGTTGGGCTCAGAGAAGCCTACTAAGGAAGTAAGACTGCAAGGGGAGTCCAAGGGCACAGTCCCCAAGCTTTACCAGGTTCCGATCCCCTTCCTGTTAACAACTCTCCGACCACTAAATCAAAGAGACAGCTGCTGTGGTTCTGACCAAGAGGCCTCTCCAGGGAGGCAGGAGCAAACCTCTGAGCTGGGGTGCTCAAGGGGCAGGTAACTACCTCTCCTGACTCATGAAAGCACAAACAGGATTAATCCGGCCCCGCTAATCCCTTGTTCCAAGCCCATTCTGTGCCAGGCACTGTGCTAAGCTCAGGTTCAAGCTTGACTTAGCTGCTCTGGCCAAGCCTTCAGAGCAGCTTCTGATTCAGCAGGGGAACGTGTATTTACTGGAGGGAACACCCGAGTTGCCAGAGGGACCGGGGGTGTTCTGACCTGGCAGGGCGGATGGGCCAGATGGCTCCCTGAGATCATTGTCAGCGGGAGGAGGCCAAACCAAGTTTCACTCTGGTTCTGGGGCTCTCTCTTTCATTCTCTCTCTCTCCCTCCCTCTCTACCTCTCTCACATAAAGACAGTCTTGGCACAAATAACCTACCAACCAAGCCATCACCGGGAGGAGGCAAATCCAGGGCCTGTCTTTGAGTTGTTGATTTCTTTCTTCCCTCCGATGTTTCCAAGCCTGAGTCCCACTGTCAGGGCCCAGCTCCTTTCTGCCCAAAACTGCCTGCTCAGTCTGAGCCAGCCCCTCTTGCTTCTGAGATACACTGCCCTACTTACATGAACACCCTCCGTCTTGTTTCTCTGTCTCCCCAGTTTAGGCCGTCTTCCTCAACGCAGTCCCTCCTCATTGCAGGAATGGGCTCCCTTTGGTCACGAAATCGGAACAGCCTCCAGTGTCTCTTTGGGTGATATGAAGACGTACACCCAGGTGGCAAGTCACATTGAAATTCATCCCACATTGACCCATGTGGAAAACGGCCACCCTGCCATAGCAGAGCCAGAGGATACCTAGAGCTCCCCTCCACCCCCCGCCAACCCTTGCAATACACAAATGAGGAAACTGAGGCCCAAGCAAAGCAACTTGATCAAGATCTCGTGGCTGGGTAGAGCTGGAATAAAAATGTCTAGTGCGGTTCATTTTTTCAGATATTTCGCTTTTCTAGTGGTGACACTTCAGGCACCTTCCAAATAGATGGGAAAATACATATAGGAACTTCCCAGAGCATTCCACTCCTATAGGTAGGGCTGGTCCACTTCTTCAGTGCCTACACTCATCTGATAGAGTCAAGGGCCAACTGAGGCTTGGGGCCCAGGTTTGGGAGCAGGCTCAGATGGGGTTACCCTATTCTGAGCTGGTACATAAGACAGTTAAAGTCGGACGGGGCTCCTGGGTGGCTCAGTCAGTGGGGCGTCTGACTCTTGATTTCTGCTCAGGTCATGATCTCAGGGACGTGGGATCGAGCCTTACGAGGGGGTCCGCGCTCTCCCTCTCCCTCTGCCCACCCCCCCCCCCCCACTGCTCACACACCCACACATGTGTACACTCTCTCTCTAAAAGAAAAGAGACAGTTGGAGCCCAACACAAAATTCAGAGACAGGCAAAACAAGCCTCTATCAGGCAGGGTTCCATCAGAAAAGCAGGACCGCTTGGAGGAGAGATTCATTATAGGGATTTGACTGTATGGGATTGTGGAAGTGGGCTAAATAGTCTAGGTCAGGCTGTTGTCTTTGCTTCTGGTGCTGGGACCCGAAAGTGGCAGGACAGAGAGCCAAGGAGGAAAGATCCCATGAAGCAGACAAGAGTGAGGGCGAGCTGGAACCTGCAAGGACAGACCGAAACCTGCCCCCGGTCTCTCGTGGCCTCCAAGTTCAACATGCGGACGGACTGCTGGAGATGCTGATGACTGCATCATGAAGGTCAGAACACACGAGGCTCAGGAGGTACGGCTGATTCAGCTGCCGCCCCACACTAACGAGAGGAGCCAGCAAATTAAGGACAGCAGAGACCAGCGTCTGGTGCCTTGCGCTGACCTTCCAGAGCATAAAAAAGAATGTCACTTCTGCTCCACTTTCCACCTTCCAAAGCTCACACAAAAGTCTCTTCTGGCTGACGCTAACGTGAAACTAGGCGAGAAAGGGAGGGAATTTGATGAAACATGATTCCAGCTTAACTAAATTGACTCATTGGAAATCTTTCAGGCAAACTTAAGTGCAGACTATAAAGAGAAAGAATGATCACCACCAACGTTTGAATAATGTTTATTTAGAGTTTGAATCTATCAGGGAGGAACACATTTGGGCTTTTGAGAGTACTGGGAATATTCTTTCTTTACCTAGATTATGGCTACCTGGGATTAGTTGTTTATTATTCTTAAAGCTATAGTCATTAGTTTTCAAGACCTGTAGTATGTGTCCTATTCGCCTATTTTTATGCTTTTGATTAGTAAAATAAAGGAAAAATATGAAGAAAGTTATCAGAAGAACAAAGGGACAACTCTGGTCATTTGGAGGAACCACTGCAGAGAGCCAAGTGGAGGCTACTACATCCTATAGTTTTGGGGTCAGAATCCACCAGATTAGAAGACAATATTATCATGCACATTTGTAGCAGGGTAAATAGGTACAACCTTGAGAGAAGGCAATTTGATCATATCTATTTTAGTGCATATACCTTCTGATCCAGGAATTATACTTCTAGAAATCCACCCTATAGAAATACCCACATAGGTAGACAAATGTGTACAGGATATTTGTCATGGCGTTCTTTCTAAAACTCAAAGCTTAGAAACAACCTGAATGTTCAACAAGAGGGAAAGGGTCCAATAGACAGTGAAGGAGCATCCAGGCCATGGAATACATTGGATTCAGTGGTTTAAACACAAGGCAAAAACGTGGTGCTAAGTGGAAAAAGCCAGAACAGAAGACCACATATTGTATGATTCCACTGACATAAAATGTCTCAAAAAGACAAATCTATGGAGACAGAGAGCAGGTGCGTGGTGGGGTTGGGGAGGGGAGCAGGGAATGCTTGCAGACAGGCACAAGGCTTCTTTTAGGAGCAGTGGAAATATTCTAAATCTGGATTGTGGTAATAGTTGTACAACTCTGCAAACCTGCTAAAAAGTCATCACATGGTGTACTTAAAGCAGGTGAATTTTATGGTAGGTAAGTTATATTCAATAAAGCTGTTAAAAAAATCTTTAAAAAAATAATGAGTAGTGATACGAGAGGACCTGGAAAGATCTTTAAGAAATAATGCTGGATGGGGGCGCTTGGGTGGCTCAGTCGTTAAGCGTCTGCCTTCGGCTCAGGTCATGGTCCCAGGGTCGTGGGATCGAGCCCCGCATTGGGCTCCCCGCTCCGCGGGAAGCCTGCTTCTCCCTCTCCCACTCCCGCTGCTTGTGTTCCCTCTCTCGCTGTATCTCTCTCTGTCAAATAAATAAAATCTTAAAAAAAAAAGAAAAAGAAATAATGCTGGATGAAAAAGGAAAGTAGGGCAGTGTGTGTAGTAAATGGCTTATCCATGTGTGTAAAAACACATAACATAATAATAAAAACTATATATATAATAAGTGTTCAGGAAAACATCTGGGAGAATACACACAGTTGTTGAAAGGAGTTATAGTTAAAGAGAACTGGAGGGTAGAGTGATATGCAGGATTAATTCATACAGTTTTGCATTGTTTCAGTGTATTTGATTGGGGTGGACTTTTCTCCAAAATGCGGGAACTGAGGCCTGACTGTCCGTGCAGGGGGCGTGCCAGGCAGCACACATATCGGCCTCCTCACAGACAAGGGGGCTAGGCTTTGTGGATATGTTTCTAGGCCTTTGTATTTTCTCAGTGAACAGTCCTTTTTTTTTTTTTTTTCCACTTCATTTCTGGTAAAGTTGCTTTCGCAAAACGTCACCTTAGTCTCAAATGAGTTAAGCACCAAGGGGCCAGAAAAGAACTAGAGAGCATTAAAGGCCATGAAGCAGTGTTTCTAAAAGTGTGCCATGTTTAAAATGGGCCCCTTGCTTCGAAGGCAGCTTTACGGACAACCCCTGAATGGATCGGAACCCCGGCAGAACCAGATGGCAGACTGGAGCTGGGCCAGGAGAGAGCGTTTTATCAAACTCCTGAGAGTTTAGTAAAGTGCGGAAAGAATTTGGGGAATGTAATGAGCAATGGTGCATTACCCCAGGGTCAGTAACAGCTGGGAGCTGTTAATGCCACTAGGCCTAAGGGGTGAGGCGAGGGTGCCATTATGTGGAGGAAGCTGTACGATGAGGGCTCCCTGGCAGGAGCCAATCCCAGCAACTAGCAGGGACAGAGCTGGGGGATGCCTGACTTGAAGCTCCTGCCCATCCATCTGCTGC